TTTTAACATAGGTTTCTATTGAAATCCCATCAATCGACTCACATTTGAGGCCGTGTTTGCGTGTCAACCCTACAAAATGGTTCACACATGTACCCGCCGTGGAGGCCGCCATCTTGGAAAGGCCCCCACGACGAGCGAACTGAAACTGAAAAACAAAATCAAACTAAACGCGGTAGACTTATACGGTAAAATCAAATTAATAAGCGTACGTAAGTAATAAGTATTTAAAAAAAATATAGTACAAAAATAGTAGTAACTTACTAACTATTTGAGGCAAAAACCGTGTTTTTTGAGGAGCACTTGCAAAGCGTGGCAGACATGCGCAGATGGATAGATAGATCATAGATAGATAGATAGATATGCTTACGGCTGGCATGAAATAAATTACCCGCTAAATAAATTAACTATGAATAGTAATAATGTAAACAATGAAATACTACACTTATATTTCTTATGATATATTTACATTTAATAATACACATATTATCGAGAACGTATAACAAGATCACGTAATAATATAATTTTCATATAATTTTTCATAAATATACATATTTTACATTTCAAATTAAAAGATATACATACAATTGGACAGTAGTCAGTAATTCGCTGAATACTGTCGATGAAAGAACACCTACTTTTTAAGCCTATATTTCCCATAAAAGTAAATATCATATGAATAATGTATTTTGAAATAAAGATATAGTTGACAAACATACTGCAAGAAACATTTATCATCAGATATCATTCAAAAAAACAGAATCAATATAATAACTGGGAGTAAGCTGAAAGTGATTCAGGCAAAAAAATACATTTAAACACATGCGTGAATACAACGTAAAGTATCATTTGTAATGCATTCATAGATTAAATATGTATCATATCCAAATATTTCATTGCTTTTATGATTCATTTTCTTTGTAAATATAATTCGGGTGTTTTGACAACAATGATGTCATCACTTAAAGTTATAACTCAACCTCTTGAATATAATTGCTGTGATTCCCATGGTTTTTTAGAAACTGATTTCAGATAAGTCTCAACGTTCTTGTCAACCATTTCTAGAAGCAAGTCAACCTCTTTCAGGTGTGTTCGAAAACAGAGGACACACATACGAAGATAGTAAACACCGCGTAGTCGCGTGGAAGCAAGCGCCACTCTGCCGTCCCGCATCAGACTGTCCAGTAATTGTTTATTGAATTTCTCGGTGTCGTTCGGAGCTTTGGCATAACGGAATACAACTACTGATAATTCGGGATATGGTCCTAACTGGAAGTCGCCTCGTTCTGTAAATAGATAAATAGAACTACTTAGTTTGTGTTTGAAGAACAACCCGCCCTAAAAAATAACCGTTAACTACAGACAGTCAGCTTTTACTTTACTTTGAAAGTAACACTCTCTACAAATACACTCAGGACATATAATGTCATTACCTGCTAGTTGTTCATAAAAGTAACGTGCTAACAATATTTTTTCCGTTAATGCATCTCTGAATGGTGCGAGTCCAAATAGCTTCAATGGCATCCACACCCGTACTCCTCTAAAATGATGGAAAATATTGTTTATCATTTGAAAACAATACGTGAACTCAATTAAGAGAGCGCATACCGCAAAAAATTGTCGTGATGGTAGGCGCACTTGCCGTATGCGTTGACTCAACGTCGTTTGTTAGAAAATGTATGTTATATGCATATATTATATTCATTAT